TTTTGAAATGGATGAATGTGATGTTGTCAAGTGTGAGTTGTTAACTAATATTGTCAAACTAAATTGTACATATAGCGTAATTCAAAAGGGTTAGGATTAATGCTTTGTAGTATGTGTCATGAGGGGTTGACACCTTATTATTGAAGGAAAGTCAAAATGATCCGATTATTATTGAAATGGATAATTAAAAAATAGGTTTGTGTGTAATTTTTATTTTTATTACTTTTGGTTTATTTTGAGCTTTATTAATTTTTTAGGACATACTTTCTACAATATCTACAATATATTAATTATCACATCAAATGATAATCATATTTTGGACGATTTTAACCCTACTATATTTCAATTATTTCAAAAGTACATCACTTTTCGTTTTTCAATATATAATAAATACTAAAAAATCTCGTCGTGTATGAATTTCGTGTTATTAATCAACATTCACATTAATTTAGACTTAATGAATGTTAACTTGATAAATCTTGATCTACATGAATCTATAATTATCATAGATGAATTTATTTATATTCATATATTTAAGAATTTTAATGGGTGTTTAAATTCATATATTAGCAATTAATTTTTATATACCAAATATAGTATAAAAATGTTGCTCATTTATAGTATTTCATCATCACAAAAAATTCAAATTATAGAAGTTGAGTTTTGAGAGTATAATTTTCTTTTCTTAAATTTCTATACTAAATTTTATTTTATTTAATTCGTTTGAGACTCATCAAATCCTCTCAACGAATTTGTATCAAATATTATTTATACAGCATTTATAAAGTATTTAAAAATAATGTACAATGCACGTTCAACTCTAATTAACATATTAGATATCACATCAAGTGAGAATAATTTTTTGGACGATTCTAGCATTTTTACAATTCAATTATTTCAATAATACCTTAATTTTCGTTTTTAATATGTATTTAATTTATTTAACCATTTAGTTACTATCAATGTACATGTACATTTGACATATTCATTTCACTTGTGTGCTTTCATTAATTTATGAATTCTCTATTATTAATTATGAATTAATTAACATATACATTTCAATTAATATTCATCTTCATTTATGCATTTGAGTGTTATTAATTATAATTATAAGTTAATTAAAATTTCACATTCAAGAATGTATTTCATTATTCACTTTCTTATATACTAATTAACATCTAGTTTTACTTAATTGAAAATTAAATAAGTGATTTAACATTCATCGTCACATATATATCCCTTGATATTAATTCAAAATCACACACATTAAAATATTATTTTTACAGTACTTATAAAGCATTTTATAATAACGTGCAACACACGTTCAATATTAACTAGTTGTACTATATATTATAAAAATATTTTAACTTATTTTTCTTCTCTTATCAATTCTCGTATCGTTCAAGCATAGACCACTAGATTATATAAGCAAAATCTTCCTTATATAAGAATATAACGTGGTTGTTAAAAATTATCACACGTTCATTTTAATGATCTTTATAAATACGGCATTAAGCCGTTGATTGTTTTCATATAGTTGTGCAATATCACAAAGTGATGGAATGTGAGATGACAAAGGATCATCTGGATATGGCAAGATAGGCACGCGCATATGCATGAATGAAACGAAGGGTCATTAAGCAATGAGAAGAAAGTTAGAATAAAGCTTATTGTACTGAAGCTTTTGACAGAAGGGATGACAGATACACAGGTGTAGTAACTGCATTGGTTGGTTCAAAACTGTTTTTGGTCCAACATTCAATCAATGCTTGCCACCTGACTATCTGTCAACCTATTTGTAT